AAAAGTTGGAAACGAAAATTAAAAATAAATTTTTTAATCGCAGACTTTTTATATATCGCTTAGTAGATCGGAAATCATCACGTGATCAACTTCGATTCTTTACAGTAAATCAGTAGATCCAAACCATAAACAAACCATTTAGTGTCTCCTTATTGATCAATTTAATAATTTATTAATTTAGAAATGTATGGTGATTGATTATTTCTTTATTAAGTATCATTTACTGTATATATAATATAAGAAAATAATATAAGAAAATATTAAAAGAAATAAAAGATCCACACAAATTATTCCGACGAAGCATTGTCTCGTGATAATTCTGTTTATCAATCATACGATCATAGTATTTATTAATAGCCATACAATTTGTATGGTAACGGTTACGTTACGGTTATTAACCGGTCATGACCGTGTCCGATATCGGTCCGACATTTTTTTTTTTTTTTTTTTTTTTATGAATTTAATAAATAAAAAAAAGTTAAATGACTCTTTTTCTGATTAAATTCGCTAACAAAAAAAACACTCTTTAACGTTTTATCTTGATTAAATTCGTTGAAGAGAAAAAAGACGGTCAGTTAAAACTTAAACGGTTAGAAAAACGGTTATCGGTCGGTCAAAGACCCTTACAGCTGATTTCATAATATACGGGACACGAGAGTAACTCGATAAAATTGGACAAATATCATGTGAAAGGCAATTATTACGTCACGTGCTTAGAGCAATATACAAATTTCTTCGGTAGAGATCAAATTATACCGCTATACTCGGATTAGTGTTCCAAATCTAGTGATAAAATTTTTCTTTACCGAATATGAAATCAGCTATAACCGGTTATGACCGACCGTGATTGACCGTTGCCATCCCTATTTGTAATAGATTTATTTTACTAGTGTCAACTTTAATTCTTCTTCATGATCGCTGTCCATGATTTTCTTTGTATTAATTATTTCCTGCTGATTACGTATAATCCATGCTTTATCTAGTCTTTCTTCTGCTGATATCGGCAGATTTACTGTAAATTACTATGTACTGTACTGTAAAATAAATTCAGTAAAGCACACGATCGCCTTAATGCTTTAAAGTTTAACATATGACGTTCATTTATATTCTGAGGCAAAATTATATTTTTATCTAAATTCTTAAATTATTTTATTATATTCAAGTAGAGTCATGCTAATGTTAGATTTTACATAAAATGTATCCTTATAACTTCAATAACAATTTTAAGACATACAAATTAATAAATTAATTATACGACTCATTACCATACGTACACTATGCAAACGATAATTATCACTTTTTTTAACAACTGTAACACTAGTTCATAATCTTATCCCGTAATTTGTTCTACTATAAAAACTTCAATCTTTTCGATAGTGTACGTACCCTTTCAATTTAAATTGTATTTAATAATACTATTATCGACAAACAAGCTATCATCTTGCATAAATAAATCACGATCTCAGAAATTAAATCATTATAAACATTTTAAATAGCATTATTAGGGGACTTAATACGACTTAATTTCATATTTTTAGTATCATCATCATTTTCGAAAGAAAAAAAATAAAATTATTGGTTTGAAGAGATAAATAAACTATTGGTCCTACGATAGAACCCAACCGGTATGTAACCGCCGAATATTTTTTGCGTATTTTCACATTTGACTAAAACTAACATAGGTTTTTCCGAAGTAATAAGTGGTTATGGATCTTCACAAATAAATTTAAGACAATAACCTTGTAGTTTTTTACAGCGAGTAATTTTAAACGCGATATGGAGGACAACTTTAAAATAATATCAAAAACTGTTGGAGTAATATCTGGTTTATCATAAACGATCATATCATTTTTTTTTTGTTATCCATTCAGTCGAAAGTGCGCTCTTAAAGTATGATGTAGAACGAGCGCGTAAAACTACCGAATTTAATCTAAATTCTTTAGTATTGTTTTCTTCTCCAACTTGAATAATAATGTTAAAACATCTGCATCATATAATAAAACAGAGAAAGTCTTTTGAAAGACCGGAATAAACACTGATGACATCGTAAAAAATCGGAAACAAAGTTAGAGTTTAGGCATGGACTATATTTATATATCGTTTAGTTACGTGGTACGAAATGTTGTGATAATTTACTGAATTAGTATTTCACGGATGATTAATAGGTCATTAACAGATTTATAACTGGATATATATATCGGATACCAAATGACACAGTCTAGATAAAATAAATCGCTTTTAATGATCGGTGACATTTACTTCATGGATGCGCTTTTTTAACTAACTATTAACATTTATTTTCTTTAACCTTTATTCATTTTTGCCTCTATTGGACGTGAAACCTTAAATTAGTTTTTATATTAAACATTTTGTTCTTGTTAGAATATTTATTTTATTTTATTTTACAGCAGGTTACCACAAAAACACGTTTGTTTATTTGATCTCGTTAGGATATATTTATTATCACAAATTAATATTGATCCTATTTCAGATATTAGTCTTTTAATCCAGTTGATGTTTTTAGATACAAGTCTAGTTACGAATATGACCATCTTTCTTCCATAAGGTATCATACAAATTTTATAATTTTGTACACGTACCAACATATTACGAATAAAAAAAAAATTGAATAAGAGGAATAAAATTATTTTTACGATTTTTACCGTAAAGTCGAGTCAATATAAAATATCAGCTTCAATTTGTTCACTAATTTGTTTGGTGAACACATGACCGAAATTTCATGTTTCTGGCCGCATTATATAATTTGGCCAGAGTTATGGTTTTGATAATTTAACCGATCTACCAGATTCAGTTTTAGTTATGATCTAAATTGTTGTACAAAGGTTATACAATTTGATCATTATCTCCTCGCGCAATCAAGGACAAATAATGCCACCATAAGTTAAGTAATGTCTGTCTATTCGGAAAATGTCCAGAATATTGCAACATTCCTGACATTTTCTGGAAATTTTAACTGAACCCTAATGTCCGGAACATTACAATATCTCAGATATTTTCCGGAGACATTTTCTGAACATTTTTTCCAAATGTTCTTTTTTTTATAGGGAAAAAGAAGTTGTAAATTACGCTAAATGATTAATATTAGTATGGCCAGATGTTGGATCAAAGCAAGCGTGAACTGGACAATTAAGACAAGTGGCAAAAAAAGAAAATTGGTTCCAATCAAAAAGCTCTATATCACACAGCTGAGAAAGTATTGTATAACTAGATATTAAGCAGTAAAAGCAAGAACTGGATGTAATTATACAATATAAATGAAGGAAATTTTAAGAGAACCTAGTATGATAGCACTTTATAATCCAATAGATAAATAATACTATTATAACAGTATAGCGTAATTCCTTTATTGATTTAATGACAGAATAGTTAATGTTTTCTTGATTGAACATTATTTTCAATTATAATCGCATTCATTATATTGTCAGTTAATGAATTTTTATAAAAGTTGTTTATTTTGAGCAAATATAACATTCTAATTTTCAATTTACCCTTACCCAACTTCCATAATAATATTATCATGTTAGTTAAATTACAAGGTTTTTATGAAGATTTCCCGATTTTGTCATTAATCAATGTAACAAAATACCAGAAGTTCAAAATAATGATAATTATTAGCATGCATAATGTTGAAGGTAAAAACAAGAGTTAAATTTTATTTTTTTAAATTAAATCTATTTTACAATTAAAAAAAAAATAAACATTAAGTGATGAAGTCATCCAATAAAAATCAATCCATAGTTATTAGTCAAAATTACTTGAAAAAATGCAAAAACAATCGCTAAACCTAAAAAACGAGGGATATTGTAAGGCCAAGATTCCAGGTAATTTTATAATTAAATTATTATTTATAAGTAGGGGTTTTAGGTAACTTGGAATAATTTTATATGTATAAAATTTATAGCTTTTTTATTTTGTTTACATATGACTCCATAATGACATTAAACTATTCGATGATTTGGTGTGTTTAGGAAACCAATGGAATTTGAGAGATTTGATCGGTTAATTAATTTGGAATTAAGGAATTTGGAATTTATTAATTTCTGTGAAGAATTTACTGCGCAATGAATTTTAAAGGACAGGTTTTTACTGCGGAATTAATTTCTAGGTGCAACTGCGGCAGATACTGACCATGATATAATCGGGATTCGCATACGAGGAGAATCTAGATGAAAGAACATTTACGGAACTTTGTGGTGATAGTATACCTAGCCGGCTGACAGTCTGGCAGAGATGCCTATCTTCTGTCTGTGGATGTGGAAATGGCGACATTACTCCGACCAAGACAATAAATAAGAATAGTTCATATGTTAGCGTCGTTAGCATAAAGACCTGTTAGACGTTCACACGGTTAGTTATAGTAGTTTTTGTTTTGTTTGCTAGAAATTTCATTTTCATGTAGAGAAAGATCAGAATACGCTTACTAACATAATAATAGTAAATAAGTTGTAAATTTTTTTTACAAATGTTCTTAAAACTTTGTTAATTTATTGGATAGGTGATTATTTGCATAAAATATTATCTTTTAGTCATTGCATTTCGAAGTATAATGGAATTATTTTTTAAGTTCCTAGCAAGGAATAGTATGACAAATAAGAAGACGTATCTTAGTCTAAAATATTTTTTTTATTAAGAGATATGTTAGCAAAATATATAGATATCGATATGTTTAAATTTGCTAATAAGATAAATATGATATCCCAATTAAATGCTTGAAATATTTTTATCAAATTATTGAACTTAGAAATAAATGATTGACTTATTTTATAATATTTATTTTATAATATTTAATTTTCAAGAATCGAATAGGAAGAATAAATTATTTTATAATTCTCGCTATTATTATTATAATGTTGTTTTTCACTTTCCAAGCTAGGAAATATATAATTTATTAAGATCAGCTTCCTCAACTTATAAGTACTTCCATTTGAGAAGTTATAAAAAAAATTATTAAAGCGATGGAAAATTTCAAAAAATATTGCTCTCGGTCGGGGAATTGAACCCCGGTCCCCCGCGTGCTGGTGACCCTGACAGGCGAAAATACTAACCACTATACTAACCGAGACTTAATCGTTATTAATTCCTAAAATTTTAAATACTTATTCATAATATTTTATAAAATCCGGTTTTGAAATTCCAACGAAACAAATTATTAATATATCAAAAAGTCTTTACCTTGCGCCTAAATCATTGTAGCAAACTCTTAATAGAAATAAAAGATTTATTGCGAAGTAACCCTTTATTTTTTTTTTTTTTTTTTTTTTTTTTTATATTCAAGAAAAATATTTAATTAATGGTCGAAAAAAAGATAAAAGTACTACATTAAAAGCCAAGAAAAAACTAGCTTCTGTCATTATATAAAAAACATCATTTATAAATTTTTATAAATTCTTTAATCTATATGTTAAAACTCATTTCATTTAATATGGAAGTTCAAGTGCAATATAATTTTACTAGTTCAACTTGCGATAAAAAAAATTTTTTTTAGTGACACTTATTTAATTTATTGAAATTTTGTTTTGATATTTCTCTTCCAAAATATTTATCATTCCCTTATTTTATTATTTATTATTTCATTTTTACTACCCTAAAAGCTTCTATCTCTTCGATAATATATTTGCCTGAACATCTTTTTTTATGATCATAATGAAAATCGTAATTAACATACAAAGTGTTATGTTGCATATACAAAATACTCTTTCCAAAATTAAATCCATGATAATTATTAAAAATATTGCAGTGTGATTTTACACGACTTAAACTCATATTTTGAGTATCATCGTTTTTTTCAAAAGTAAAAATAAAATTACCATTTGATAAAGTACTAGAATGATTATTTCTAATTCTATAAGAATGTCTTTCAAAATCATCAAATACACGATGGAAACCGGTCGAGGTATATCCACCAAATATCCTTCGTGAATTTTTACATTTGATTAAAACTAAAATTGGTTCTTTCATGTGGCACTTCTTTTGAAATGAATTATTATTGATTTCATCCTTACTACCTCTATAAATAAGGCCAAATTTATATGATAAATCATTTTTATCAGGAATAATCTTTGCATCTCTTTTGTTGATCCAATTGATGATTGTAGGAATGAGGTTTTTTTTAATAATTTTCGATTTAAATTGAGTTTTTCTAGCTCGTGGAAGTAATATGGTTGCATTTTGTAAAGTACCTTTGGAATAAAATTCTTCAATTTCTTTAATAATATTATTGGGAATAATGTGTTTATAAGGTTTAACTTTATCGTGATACACAGTAGGAGAAATTTCAACAAACCGAATAAGAGGAATAAACTTATCTAAAGTTTTCTTTAATTCTTCATAATTCTCATTATTCCATTTTGTTATATCACTACTATCAGTGCTTATCAAACAAGGAGTTTGTTCAATACCCCATTTAATTAAATATTCCCAAACAACATTTTCATCGATCTGCAAGTCTTCTCGTTCAAGTAAACTATAGAGAATATCTTTATCTAACGAGAGAAAGATATCCGAAGTAATAAATGGTTGTGGATTGATACAAATAAGATTAAGACAAAAGTCTTGTAATCTTTTGCAGCTCATAAGTCTAAACGCGGTATCAAGGACAAGAACAGAATTTTTTTCCTTTACCCAGGTTGTTCGTTTCTTAATTAAATAATCTTGAACATGTTCTAATAATTCATCAAGAACTAGTTCATCAGATGCAACCAGAAGTTCAAGAACATCTTTACTTCGGAACTTTTCCAAGTCAAGTTCGCCCGTATAAATATATCTTAAAAAGAAAAAAAAATTTTTTTGAATTATAATAAATCAAATCGAAATAATATAAAATTAAAATGAAGCATACTTTAAAACTAAATCAAAAATTGTTGGAGTAATATTTGGTTTATTATACAGGATTATACCATCCTTTTTTGTTACCCATTCATTTGAGAGAGCACCTTTAAAGTAAGCAGAACGAGCACGTAAAACTACCGAATGTGCTCTAAATTCTTTCACGTCGTTATTCTCGCCAACTTGAATAATAACGTTAAAATCATCCGCATCATTTAATATTGAAGAAAAATCTTTTGAAAGGCCGGAATGAAATATTGAAGTCATGGTTATAAATCAATAACAAGATTAAAGTTTGAAAAATGTGGATCATAACCGTATTTATACATGAATGTTTATGTAATTTAGGTAGTACAAAACTTGCGGTCGCCTTTTGATCATTAAAGAGATATTATTTTGACAAACAAAAGAATATATTAAAAAAAAATTTTTTTCATTATACTTAATCATAAACTCATTCTAAAAGCTTAGTTTTTACATTTAAATGATTTAATAAAATTCGACCGCAGGTGCAGTCGGCCGCATGATCACCCTTGTCGTACAAAATTATTTTTTATTGTATTATCCATTTTTATTCTACTAAATGACAAGATTCACTTTCTTTCCATTTCCATTCTCGTCAATTTGTACTTCATATACCTTTTTTGTCAAACGCCTAATAATTACGCCAATACTACAAAGTTGGCGTATAGAATGATAATACTATGTTTAATAAATTTTAATACGACATAAATCTTTGATATTACTTTTAATATCCGGAGAATAGCCAATAATCATACTTTAATTACTAATGATAATAAATAAAAATAGAATAATTTCATTTGTCATGTAAAAATCATTTCTACATGCAATTAAGATTGAACTATAAATAACTAATTTTAATTCGTTCAATCTACGAATTATAACTCAGCAGAATGATTACTAATTGTCTATTTGAATGAATTTAATTTTTATTTATTTACTGTTACGAATTTTTAAATTCTAATTTGTAAATTTGATATTATTTATTTTATTTTTTTTTACATCAATATTTAATTTTATTTTACGTCAATATTTAATTTTTTTTTTTTATATTATTTAAAAAACACTACAAATATTTAATGGATACATTTACCCTACTAGTATTTTTGAGGCATAACAAATAATGATTCTTGCTTAATTCGTCAAATTTAAAAAGAAATGATTTATTATTTTAATCACAACATTTAATTTTCAAGAAGAAGAATAAATTATTAAATAATTCTACTATTGTTTCACTTTTAAGCTAAGAGGTTTTATCAATATATGGTGCCGGAACTCTATACTCAAAAATAAAATTGTGCCACTAAAAAATCTTATAACATTTTCAAAATAAAGTTTTAAAAGAAATAAACCGGTAATGTTATTCTTTAAAGTGAATACTATCAAATTACCGGTCAAAATTTTAATAAATGATCTACATAAAAAGTTATAAGCATTTAAATTCGGATGATTTTTATATGATCGGCCGAAATTTGAAACAAATCAAATCACGTGGATGGTCAAAATTTTTATAATTCGGGCCAACATTATGGTAATTTAGCACTATCCCGAATTATCATACTCCTTAAATACTCCTTGAACCATGAGAAAATTTTTGATTGTTACATGTGAATGAGAAAATTTCTGGTTTAGCTGAAAACCATTTAAGTTTAATGACACGTAATGACACGTAAAACAAAACGCCAACAACAAGTTAGCAAAATATCCAGAAAAAAAGGACGCTTTATCTCTCAAGATCAAGTTTTTGTGGAAGAACTTGTAACAGAAGAGATAGAGACCGCTGAAGAAAGCGAAAAATGGATAGAAAATGACATTATTGAAGAAAGAATGGAAGGTGAAGCTGTTGAAGACTGGGTAGATGATGAAACTGTCGAAAACTGGACAGAAGAAAACTTGAAAGAGTTTGAAGAAGTGGGAGAGAGACTTACTACTGAAGTTCTTTGCTGGCATGATGGTGCTGCAAAAAGCATTAGAGCGGTATATACTGGAAATTCAAGAACAACAGTATGGAGGAAGAAAAATGAAAAAAAGAGATTAAGTGATGATGCAAAAGGAATGAAAACACTTGATAATTTTTTTAAAAATACTGAAATCAGAAGTTCTGAAACTTTACATTCCTTACGATCATCCCCATTCCCATCTTCATCTCCATTTCCAGAAATTACACAAAATCCTCTATTTTCTGTTGATAATCTTCATAAACGTTTAGAAGAAATAAATCAACAATGTTTAATAACAAAATCTGTAAAAAAAAATAAAGAACTCTTTACCTATGATCATTTACGACGTCTAAGCATACGAAGATTCATCCAGTTGTTATTAGATGGACAAGGAAAAATGGATGCAAGTAATAATATTGCACAAGCTGTATGGAATAAAGGTACTTACATGGCAACATGTATTCGAAAATGGGGATCTCACTTTATACAGACAGGGGAACTTCTTGTTTATCGTCAAGGAAAACATACAAAACTATGGAGTTTGATAAATGATGAGGATTTTAAAAATGAATGCCAAGTATGGTTACGTCAACAAACACCAGAATCACGTTCCCCCACCAACCTAAAAAAATATATTGAAGAAACAGTATTCCCAAAATTAACAGGACACATTAAAAAAGAAACAATTTCTGAAAAAACATGTCGAAATTATATGCACTTCTGGGGATACAAATATGATGAGAAAAAAAAAGGAGTTTATTATGATGGGCATGAACGGCCAGATGTGGTAGAATATAGGAAGGAATGGTTAAAAAGAATGTTTGAATATAAAAAATCCATGAAGGATTTTGATGGTGATATATTAGATGTTGTTTTGGAGCCCCAGCTTAAGCCTGAAGAGAAGGAAATAGTTCAAGTTACACATGATGAGTGCCACTTTTATGCAAATGATGGACAACGGAAAATTTGGATGAAAAAGGATGAGGATATTTTACGCTCAAAACACATTGGACGTTCTATTATGGTTTCGGCATTTCTTTGTCCATGTCATGGATTATTACAATTATCTGATGAACAATTACAAGTAAATCCGCATATTGAACATAAAGAGGCTGTTGTTCTTCGATCTATACAATCAGATGGATATTGGAAATCGGAACATATGTTAGATCAGGTATAAAAGGTTGAAGTTTGCAGAATTTTTTTAAAGAAAATTGATAAATTCACCTTATTTACAAATGCAGCTCGTGCATCAAGCAATTCCAATATTTGAAAT